AGAGAGAGAGAGAGAGAGAGAGAGAGAGAGAAAGAAAAGGAAAATGCTTGTGCCAGTGTTCAGAATCTGGCAAATTGAAAAAAACACCTCTCCTCATTCATTGCACAAGTTTGTTAAAAAGAATAAAAAAATGTATAAATTTGCATCCTGCCATCTCTTTCCTGACCTGGGAGCTCCATCCAATGTCAACCAAAAGCCCCCGTTGGTTCTGCCAACTGCCTTCCCAGACCATAGCTCTAACTCCCACTTGTCTGCTACAGATGGAGGCCAGGTGGCCTTGGTGGCTGTTTGGGAACCAAAAGTGAACAAAGCCTGGCACCAGTCTCTGTCACAACAACCACATAACAAATGGCAGAAATTCTGCAGCGGAGTGAAGGAAGTGGCCGCTTGAGTTCTCGAGGATATCAAGAGCCTGGCATGCAGCTGGCATGCAGCTGGCCGAGACCTTCCAGACCCTCCAGGTTAGGTCTGAGAGCCTCTGTGAGAAACACACCCTGCACACATGCCTTTTCCATCTCTGCCGAGAGAGGTCTACGTTCCTCACGCCATCTCTGCTTAGTGAGAGGGTAACAGTGTGGGGCGGTGAGTCCTCCCAACGAGAACCAAGGAGAGCCCTGCAGAGCCAGCCCTGCCTGCTGAGGAGCGTGGGGCCCAGATGCCTGTCCTTACCAAGTTCTCGTTGGTCAGCCGGGTGATCTCGTGCTGCAGGCTGGCCTCGATGCGGGCCTCAGGGGGCAGCTGCAGGTTCTGGGCCAGCAGCTGCTGCTGCCGGTTGTTCTCTTCCTTCAGGCTCTGGATCTCCCCGCGGAGGGCTTCGGCCTCGTTCTCATGGCTCCTCTTCTGTGACTGGAGCTGGGATTCCAGAAGCCTGTGGAGAAGACACACACATAGAAAGGGTGATGGCACAAGAGTCCCTGCCTGGCGGGTAAGACTTTGTGCTCACTTGCAAGGGCGCGAAAAGCAGGGACTCGAGCATCTGCGTAACTTCTGACTTGATTCAAGTGAGGAAACTCACACAGGACTAGAAATGAACACAAATGTTCTCACATTTGTGTCTTTCTGAATTGTGGACCCTGCTACAAATATGAAGTTCTCAAAGGCCCTGAGAAGCAGGAGAGTTTTACCTCGTTTGAGAGGTTCACAGGAATGATGAATAAAATAATCAATTCAAAGACAGAGCTTTAATCTGGAGACTACAATTAAAAACTAGCATTTAAGTTGGCAAAGACTGTACCTTTGCCACAAAATGACTCTGCACTATGAGCAACACTACAAATTCCTGATCTAATTAAATATGCGTTCAGGAATGTCAGCATTACTAATTTCAGGCAGAGGGTGCAAGCATGGCCCCACTTTTACCTTCTACTCTCATCTGTGAAGAATAGAAAGGCTGGAGTGGTTCTCTGAACTATATACAGATTTACCCAAACCCAGACAGGTAGTCCTGAAATTTCATATACAAATACTTTAAATTTGTCATCTTTCTCCCCATAAGCTTCCCTCCCAGTAACAGAATCCCAACAAGACATGGTTTTAGAACATAAGTATTAAAAGCTAACAAAGTGGTTACTGCTTCTCTGAGCAAACAGTCAGCTGTGCCCGTAAGTAGACCAGGACATCGGAAGTGAGAACAGTAGAAAGAAATAGTATCTTCCCTTTACCATGCACCCTGCAGCCCCACTTCCACATTCACTCCCTTTCTAAACACAGAACAAAGTTACAGTTAGGAATTAATTAGAAGAAAGAAAAGATGTCCTTTTATTCTAATCCCCTTGCTTACCAACTGCTGGCCAAAAGTTTTGATGCCACTGCAAGCAAACTGTTAAGAGCAGACTAAAACTATTTTGGTGAGTTTAAAATTTCAAGAGGATTTGAACCAGTAACACCACAAAGTTAATGACAATGATTTATGGTTAGAACAAACAAAGCAGAATAAGCAGAAGCCCCTTGAACAAACAACATGTCACTAAAATGGCATTTTTATGAGATTTTTAGGACACAAATATCACTAGAGCAGAGGAGTGTCTGTGTGAGAAAGGTGTTGCTGTTTCCATTTTATTTGCTTTCTGCTAAACACATTTAACATGTTGAGTCTGGGTAACTATTTTGAACTGTAGCAATGTGGGAAACCCTCCTGATTTGCTGTTTCACAAATCTGAACTTCTCAACAAGCACAGAGAATGCCAAGTCCTGCACTTAATACTGCTGTTAAGCAGCATGACAATAGCATATAGGAATGTAGCCACACTGCCATTGGCACATATATCCTTTCGATTGGTCATTATTCCAAACAAGAAACCACTAAGTAATAGATATTAATCTCTCCCCACAGTAGTTTGAGCTCTAGTTGAAAGGTTTTGGCTTTCTTCCAACCGATAGTGAGATATTCACAAATTTTAGTGTCTGAAGGGAACTCTAGATAGCATCCCTGCACTTAGGCGCAGCAACTCCTATATTCATCATCAGTCTATTTCAGCTTTAATAGCATCCCTTACCAGAGAGCAATTTTAGGAAGGTATTTGGCTAAAAGCTCTAAGTTTTACTGAAATGTTCCTAGGAAGATAATTAATGTACAAGAAATATAAAATTTAAAGACAGGAGGCCACTGTTAGTAAAAAAAACAACAACGAATGAGTAACATTCCATTTTGAGGACACAGATATAACCTGTTGGCTTGTTTTAACCCTTCATAAACCAGCCACAGCTCCCCATCCTCATTCAGCTGGTGGCAGTCCACAGCAGACGGTCTTCCATGCAAAAGGAACAATGCAAAACACAAAGGTACAGGATGGGAATGAGGTGATGATGGTCAACAGCATCGCGTGATATTTCAATGTTATTGTCAATATACTGTTTTTGTTAATTACAGGTAACAAGACATCACGAAAAATTATTAATTTTTTAAAAATGTGTAACATGTAAATGGGTAGGAATTAAAACAAAGTTATCAAGAATCTATAGCTACTTTTCCTGCAAAATAAGAAACGATTCAAAAGGTGAGAAAGAGGTTCTGTTTTTAACATTTTATTCAGCTAGTAGAGTGATCTTATATGTCACTTATTATGTTAGAGACTAACTATGACAATCACACACACAGAATGAAAACTGCAGCTATTGTCTTCATGTTGCAATCTTCATAATCCATTTCAAAATGAAGTTTTAAGTCTTATGGGTAGGAACTTGTTTTAACTTAATAAAATCTGATTTCCTAGTTTTAAAAAACTCTTATAGGAATAACTTATAAATAAGAGTATGTTCAAAGTTCTCAGCTTTTGTGATACATTTTTTTATCTTTATTATTGAAAGTATTACAGGCATCCCATTTTTCCCCCCACTGACCCCTTCCCAGCTTGCTCCCACCCCCTCCCCAGGCCTTCGCCACATTATTCTCTGTGTGCATGGCTTATGCACATATGCATGTAGCTTCTTTGGTTAATCTCTTCCCACCCCCTACCACCCTTCCCTCTTCCCTCTGAGATACGAATGTCTATTGCATGCTTCAAAGTCTCTGGGTCTATTTTGTTTGTCAGATTATTTTGTTCACTAGCTTCTTCTTAAAGAAGACCCTTCAACATTTCATGTAATGCTGGTTTGGTAGTAATGAACTCCTTTAAACTTTTTCTTATCTGTGAAGCTCTTTATCTGACCATCAGTTCTAAATGATAGCTTTGCTAGTAGAGCAATCGTGGTTGTAGGTTTTTGCTTTTCATCACTTTGAATATTTCTTGCAACTCCCTTCTGGCCTGCAAAGTTTCTGTTTAGAAAACAGCTGACAGTCATATGGGTGCTCCCTTGCAGGTAACTAACTGCTTTTCTCTTACTGCTTTTAAGATTCTCCTTTGTTTTTAACCTTTGGCATTTTAATTATGATGTGTCTTGGTGTGGGCCTCTTTGGGTTCCTCTTGTTTGGGACTCTCTGTGCTTCCTGGACTTATAAGTCTATTTCTTTCCCCAGGTAGGAGAAGTTTTCTGTCATTATTTTTTCAAATAGGTTTTCAATTTCTTGCTCTTTCTTCTCCTTCTGGCACCCCATAATGGGAATGTTGGGCCGCTTGAAGTTGTCCCAGAGACTTCTTATACTATCTTCATATTTCTGGATTCTTTTTTCTTTTTGCTCTTCTGGTTGGGTGTTTTTTGTTTCCTCATGTTCCAAATTGCTGATTTGATTCTCAGCGTCCTCTACTCTACTGTTGATTCCCTGTAAATTATTCTTCATTTCAGTTNTCTACTGTTGATTCCCTGTAAATTATTCTTCCTTTCAGTTCATGTAGCCTTCATTTCCGATTGGTACTTTATTATGTCATTGATGATCTCACTTGTTTTCTTAATAGTCTTACTAAGATCCTTGAGCATCCTTATAACCATTATTCTGAACTCTGTATCTGTTAGCTNTATCCCTGAGTATCCTTATAACCATTATTCTGAACTCTGTGTCTAGGAGCTTGTTTGGCTCCATTTCATTTAGTTCTTTTCTCGAGATTTCTTCTGTTCTTTCCTTTGTGACATGTTTCATTTGTGACATGTTTCTTTGCCTCCACATTTTGGCTGCTTCCTGGTGTTTGTTTCTATGTATTAGGTAGAGCTGCTATGTCTCCTGGAATTTGTAGAGTGGCTTTGTGTAGTAGGTGTCCTGTAGGGTCCAGTGGCTCAGCCTCCCCAGTCACCTGAGCTGGGCCTTCTAGGTGCTCCCCTGTGTGGGCTGTGTGCACTGTCCTGTTGTAGTTGAGCCTTGGTTGCTGTTGGTGTCACTGGGAGGAANCCCCAGGCCAACTGGCTGTGAGGATCAGCTGCAGCTACAGCCAAAGAGCTGGTGTGCTAGAGGCAACCCTATGGAGAAGGATTCACTTCAATGGAGCTTTGGTGTTCACCAAGTGCACTCCTTGAGTGTGTACTTGTGGATGTGGTAGGGTTGTAATCCAGTGTGGTCGAAGCTGACCACCAGGTGCACTGTCTCTGGGGTCTCCCGGGAGGTGCAAAGTCAGCCTTTGCCAGTGCCTTGCCCAGGGCGACCCAGCATGAGCTACACAGCAAATCGTAGATGGCTACTACTTGTGCTGAGCTTGGAGGTGTCCAGGAGAGGCCAAGCTATTAACCAATGCTGGCTGCCACTAGTGCCAGGCCTGGGGCCACTTATTGAGAGGTATGGGGCACGCTAAGGGCAGCTGCTGCTTGTTTGAGAGATTTTAGTAAAGTCCTAAGCATGAGGCTCAAGAGGCCACTTGCATAGAAAAGCCACTGGAAATGGCTTGGATAAGCTTGCAAGTAGGAGGGGCAAGGTCTCCAGGAATCACCAGGGCAGGGTCAAAGGTGTGTCAGGTGCTGGAGATTCATATATGTGGTCTGCTCTGTGGGAAGAGGGCTCATCAAAGGAGCAATGGCCTCTGCCAGCTCCTCTGTCTGGAAGAAAGCTGCCCCTCTAACTCTCGCCCGGATTTCAGACAGGTTAGTTGCTCCTCAAGTGTCCCAGGTCCTTTCAAGCTGCTGTCCAGCACTGGAGCTCAGAGGGAGAGTCCATGCACAGGCCATGCGCGGGCCTTTAAGAGGAGCTGCCTGGGGCTCCCGCAGCCTCCGCGACCCTCAACCACAGTCCCTGCTTGTTTTCACAGCCCGAAGTTGTGGGCCTTCTCTTCCCAGCCCTGGATCCCTGGGCTGGGTGCCTGATGTGGGGCTGGGACCCCTTGCTCCTCTGGGAAAATTCCACTGCCAAGATGTCCCTCCGGGTTTTAAACCTTGGCCCCTGGGTGTGGCCCCGCCTCCGCATCTCTGTGATTCAGCCCTGATCTGCCCACATCTCTGCCCCTCCTACCAGTCGATGTGCTTCTTCAGTTTCCTGGTTGTAGGGCTTGTGTTCAGCCAGATCTCAGGAGGCTCTGAGTGATGGTGGTTCTGTATTTTAGTTGTAATTCTGATGTGGTTGCGGGAGGCGGCGGGTGCAGCTGTTACCTACACTGCCATCTTGTTGTGTCCTCCTTATGATACAACTTTTAAAAGACTCTTTTCTTTGCATCAAAATCAATTTTAAGACCTTCGAAACTGTTTTTATATTACTTATGTGACACATTTTATTAAAATTATGTATAATTAATAAATAATAATGACATGTTTGATTACAGGTTTTTTCTATCTGGGGTATTAAAATAATCTTTTTGAGTGTTTGCTAAGTGTCAGGTACTGTTCCTTATCTTTCCACATATTTTATTTCACTTAGTTCTCCCAGTAACCCAATATATCGTTTGCCACATTGCAGAGAAAGACATGGAGGCTTCGCAGTAAGATGCCTGTGGAGGTTACACAGCTGGAAAGGAGTGGCGCTTAGGGCTGTCTCGCGCCAGAGCCCAGGTTGTCAGTCCTCCTCCTAGATTTCTGTTGTTGATACGATGTTTACATAAAACAAATTCCAGAGCATGTTCTTCTATTTTCCACCTCCCATCTCTCCCTGAAGAGTTGATCTATTTGCATGGTCTCAGTTATATTATTATATACTGATGACTTCAACATTTATATTTCAGCCCACACATCTCTCCTGCTTCAGATCTGTATTTTCAAATGCCTAATGGATTTCTCTCCTTGGATATCTTCCTTGCTCTTTAAATTCAATATCTGTAAATCTACCTATCACCTCCGCGCACACTTCCCTACACCCCAGACCAGGATCACAAATGGCATCACCACATCCACCCAATATCAGACACTTCAGAGTCATCCTCACCGACAGTCAATAAAACACATAGCTTACTGACCTCATTTCATGTATCTTCAAAGTGTCCCATTTCTTGCAATCCCAAATGCCACGAAGTTAAAGTCACCATACTATGTCATTCAATTACAGTAATAGCCTCTTAACTGGTCTTTATGCTTTCAATCTTGTTCCACTACATCTATTCTCTAACACATATGCCAGGGGTAGCTTTCTAAAATTCAAATCTCATATCATTCTCCTACTTAAAATCTTTCAACAGCTTCCACTATCACTGAAGTCCAAATTCTCTTGGCTGTCTCCTCAACAGCTATAAACCCTGTGAAAGTAAGGAATGCATTTACCTTGCTGATTGCTAATATTCCCAGTCTGTGGCACAGGGCCTGGCGTGAAATCAACATGCAATACAACTCTGGTAATTGAAAGGCTAAGTGGATGGATGAACAGCGTGATCTAGCTATATTTATACTTATACAATCTTAGCTACGAGATATGTTATTTATCATTTACATTCATAAATTAAAATTCAAGTTTAACTACTTTTATAAACATTCTCCACCTTTGCCCATAAAAGAAGATATTCTTTAGTTTGTTAAGCATTTCCATATACGAATCGTGGTACTATGTATGCACCAGGAGACCCAGACTGCACGCTGATAATAAACATCTCCAGAATTGTCTTTCTCTGTGATCATCACTGGCCATATTCTTTTAAGTATGCAGTCTTTTAAGTTCAGAGTTCAGTAGCACTAAGGGTCTGTTGGGAAGGGGTGAGAGGAAGGCTGACAAAATTCCAGAGATAAGCCTTTATTCTGTGATATAGTCTCAGCTATAGAAAAAGCTTCGGGAAAGTCGTCATTTAGAGATGGTGCAAATCCTGCATTCTTGGCCAGCACACCCAAAGTTCTTAAGTGTATAGCAACTGAGCTAAGTGCTATCTGCAATTTCACTTGCATTTACAGTAAATGGAATAAAACCAGAGTTAGGATTTTCTTAGGACACCTTAGGGAACATGACAAAAATGTCTCAATTATCAGGGTCCTGCCCTAGATTTCTAAAAATTATGGAACCCTTATAGAATTATATGGCTAACACTAATATGATTCCAGATACTTCATCATTTCTTCTCACATTAAATCTGATTATTGAAAGCTGCAGTTGCCCCTACAAACCTTCACAAATAATCAGTCTGAAAGCAAATGAAAGTGACTCCCCAAGACAGTCCAACAGTGAGCAACTGGTTTTCTTCTCAAGGCTAAGACCTGAAGATGCAGACATACATCCCCTTGATGCGAAGGACATTTTCCCTGACACCTCTCATCAATAATCTACCTTATGTTATCATGGGACTTTATTGAATATATTGAAAAACTTGGATTCCCTCTGAAGGTCAGTTGATGTCTACTAAAGCAATGTATAAATACTTTGCCTTACTGTACAAGAGGCCTGAAGACTAAAAATCAATATGATTAAACCAAAATGGAATAAAAACAGGACCAACTTACCTATTTGTTTCTTTCAAACCAATGTATGCTTGTGCTATTTCGCCTTTATCTTTCATTTTTTGTACATCTTCCAAAAGTACTGTGGCATCTGTCATTGTGTTCTGTAGAGGAAATGACACATTTCCACATTAAGAACCAACTCACAAGCTTTGGCCCACATACGATATACTTGTTTGTTTTTGTGTCCACCACAACGCTGCCCCTCCAGACCCTAGAGGATGGTGGGGCACAGGCAGTCAAGGGAAAGAGGAGCCTTCAGTCCTTTTCTTGAGAATCCTTAATGCGCTGTTATGTATGTGGTGAGATTCTGGAATACTACGGCCCTGAAATAAAATAACGGACGGGCTATGTGTGTTTTACATTATGTGTGTGTATGTTGGGGGTGAATATATATATATATTCTAATATATAGTTCCTTGGTGTTCTTGCCTGGTTATTGCTCTAATGCTGTATATACTATATACTTTATATATATACACTCAAATAAAATACGTTTCATAGTATTTCAAAATTATATAAATATATATATTTCCTGATATATACACAGCATCAGAACAAAGACCAGGCAAGAACACTGAGTATTTAGTGAAACGGACAACGCTGTTCTTTCTACTACTTTTCAATCAATTATAATAAAACAGATGCCCTAATAATACACTAAAAGTTTGACATAAAGCTCATTCTTCCATGAAAAACTCAGTACAAAAAGGTGGCATTCAGATGTATGCTTCAGCAAAATTAAAAGTTTCTCACATCTTTAGATCTATATAAATGGGAAGAATCCAGTTCCCTATAAATATCTACCAGCTGCTCTTATTCAATTCTTTTTCCTCTGTTACAGTACTACATGGTACATAAGCTTTTGAAATAAATATCTGGCAGGTCAGAATTACTAATGATTTTGTATAAAAAGGACTTTTCTACTAAACATTTTTACTTCCTTTTTTATTTTTCCTTTTTGGTTTAATCTGTCTGACAACCACTGTAATTTCAAAATTTTGCTTCTACTTAGCTTTTCTCTTTCTCCCCTAAACCAGGACAAAAATACATAATGAGATCAAATGTTCTATAGCCTCTAAAGAATAATACACTGTAGCACACAAGGGGCCATGCTATTTGTCTAAATAGTATATGTCTGATCCTTTAGTCCACGTTTGCCTTACAGACAGATCTTACAATGAAGTAGTGTTCACAGAATACACTTCAAATACAAGGATCTTAGAGACCAGTTTCTTTTTTTTCTTTTTTTTTAAAATATATCTTTATTGATTTCAGATAAAGGAAAGGAGAGAGAGACAGACAGAAACATCAATGATGAGAGAGTCATTGGGGATTGAGCCCACAATCCGGGTATGTGCCCTGACCGGGAATCAAACCCCGATCGCCTGGATCCTAGGTCAATGCTCAACCGCTGAGCCATGCCCGGCCGGGCTAGAGACCAGTTTCAAGATAACTTGAATGCCAACTAGAGGCCGACAAATACTTGCTTTTGAATTTCAGTGTTTTTAAGAAACAACCTTTTTAAAAAAAGTCCCTTTTCTCCTAATGCTGTTCTTTTGTGAGTTTATAAATGTATCCTTGGAGAAGACCAAATATAATCTGATAAAAGCTATTAACAAAAGCTTATGTTTTATTGAATTTTAAACATCTTTCCCATAAACACCACATACAGCATTTCTTTAGCTATTTTTAGAAATATTTTAGTACGCATTTCATAGAAAATTTCTTTTTCTCTTTCTCTGAAAGGCAGAAAATCTTTCTATTCCATAAAGGGCTAAACTCAGATTTTAAAATTTTAAGTAATAATTCTCAAAGGCCCAGGTTCTATAATGCTACATGTATTCTCTGATATCTGAGGACCTACCTACAGGATGTGGTTTTGAACTTTTAGTAAATTAGGCAATTTGATCTAATTAACTAATGCAAAGAAAAGCTAGGCCTCTCAGTATGTTGCTGTCCTGAGAGTCAGTAACCAGTCCTTCCCTTATCTGGCCTATCTTAGCTAAGAAATGGTGGCTGGGGCATGGGCTCAGGCTTAAACTGCCAGTGTTAGCAAGTTTCTGATTCACTGCTCAGTTTGTCTCCCTCAAGTCAGTGACCAAAAGTCCTGAAAGGGTTGAACCATGTCAGAAAATCCCACCCTTCCCAAGTGTGCCTAGCAACCCAGGCTCCTCTTTACCCTTGGCCAACAAATCCATAGCTGAGAGACATGAGAGCACGGGAGAGCCTGTGCTTTTCTGTGTATGCCAGGTTAAGGGCTCCCTCCCCCACTTGTGGATGGCCTAGGAACTACCATAGTGAGTCAGAAAGCTGGCTGAGAATTAGAAGTCATGGAGGACTCTCTGTGAGCCAGGCTGGAGACTACTACCTCCACACTTTCCCACTGACTTCCCAAATAAGAAGGGGTCAAAATAGGAAATCAATTTGCAAATATAAAAGTAGACCTGGTGGCCAGAAAGCATCAATTGCATATATATTGAGCGATATTTGTAAACTAAAATTAGAACTAAATAGTATTTACTAAAAATTTTATAATTACCTTGTCATCCTGAAAAATCACAAGTCAGCAAGCACAAAAAAACAAATGGAGAAAACAATAAACTCTTAGGTTCCATAAATAAATTCTATCAGAGCCTCCATCATAACAAATAAAAGTGAACTGTAAAAAACAACCATGAATTGTTTCTGTAAAACCAACTCCATAAACATATAAATATTCATGAATCTGACATGAGGTAGACATTAACATATATTTATGTGATGGCAAGTCTTAATTCTTAGAAATAAGTGCTTGAAATTCTTTCTGTGTTTTTTAATTGTGAAGTATTTCTGAGTATGTGAAAGATGACCCTCCTGTTTTATATGGGTGAAATTCTTTTCCAAGGTCTGTGAGAGTTAAAGTAATGCCTGATAGGATGTCATCTGTCCAAGTAAAGCCTCCTTGAAGACTCGTGGAGGTGGAGCAGATAAACTAGACCCGGCTGGGCTGGATCATCACCTTGCTCACTGGGTGTCACCACTGTCCTGCAAAGAAATTGTGACATGATGTGTTATGACTAGAAACTGAGTGGGATGAACAGCCCTGGGGTGTCTGAAAGGTCTCAATCAGCATCATTTTCCTAGGAGAGGACAAGCTGCGGCCATGTGTAAGCTGGGAGCTGGAAGAGGAAAAGCCTCGGTTAGACAGGACCAGCCCTTTAGGGGCTGGCAAGCAGATGTCACATGGAATATGTGAGGTGGGTTCCTGAGGGTGTGTGATCCCAGAGCTATGTGCTCTGTTAGCTGGATTGTTTTTAAACCCCTTGGTTCATTTTTCTTTTCCTTTCCCTTGACTATACTGAAGTTTCTTATGAGTATACCAATTTGTCACAAGGGAACCAGAGAAAGGAATCATGATTGTGGACTCAGAGCCTTGTTGCTAGAGTGGTCACCATGGGAACCAAAAATGAAACAGCTCCAGGGAAGGTGAGATGTATCTGTAGGGCCAAACCAAAGGAAAGATTCCCATTTTCCAACTTCTCATTTCAGACTTAAGGGGTTTGTGATTTGTTTTAAAATAAGGAAGGCCATTTCTTTATATAACTCCATTTGTTAGGTGAGAGTTGCCATTATCAAATCCAAACCTACGTGCTAGGTTCGCCACTATCTCAGCCACATGCAGAACTACCATTTCTAAGAGGAGCACTCTCAGATCTTTCAGGCACTCAGTTCATCATGTATCACAGTCCTGATTTATTTGGCATGGCATGCTGTTGGAATAGTTGACTGCGAGGTCTCAGAATACCTCAGGGCAGGGAAGAACTCCAAAGGGCCATCTATATCCTCCAGCCTGGGTCCTTTCTGTTCAATCACTAACCACAGCCCCTCCCCACTGGGACAGCTCCCCTACTAAACAGAACTAACGGAAGTGAGCAGAACTCGTCTCCGCGTAACTTCCACTCACTGATCTCCTTTCTAATCTTTTCATGTTACCTTTCCATTTAATCAGGCTATCTTCAACAAATAATTTTAAAGTCGTATTAATGCCTTCCCATAGCAAGACAATTTACGGATTTGTGTATTTAATAGGATTTTATTTTTGATCAGAATTTATTGTGGCTAAATTACTACAAAAATTAATTTTAAAAGCCCTTGGCTCATGAGTGAAAGATGAGACTCTGAAAACCATTTGGGAGTTTACTTGCTTTGTGCTCACTCCAGTTAACATTTGCAACAGTTTTAAAACAACACTGAGATTTTTTTTTTTTAAAATGGTAACATCCTCATTTAGACTAAAAATGCTCTTAAGTGTTTGCTTCATTATACATTAGAGGCAATGGATAGACAAACAGGCTGGTACCCAAACACCCTTGTTAGCCACGTGCTCCTGCTTACCTTGGGCTGGATGGCCTCTTTCTGGCTCACCAGCTGAGACCTCAAGATGAGGACCTCCTCCTTGCGGACATCGAGCTCCTCACTCACAGAGGTCAGCTGCTCCATGAGGACACGGTATGCGGGTGCACCTGGAGCCGTCACCTCTGGGGCACTTTTCTCACTAAGGGCCTTGCGTAACTCATTTAGCTCATTTTTCAGTTTTTTGTTTTCTGATTCTAGTTCTTGACGCTGTGTAGAGACATAGAATAGTTCACCCTGTCATCCTCAACTTTACATCGGAATGCCCATCTTCCCCCAAGCCAGTAGAAGAATTCTGCTGGAAAAGACTATCAGAGCTACCCTACTGAATGGCTTCCCAGGTTCTACTGGGAACTCTGCCCTGCAAAGTAAGGAAGTCTGACATCAAGTAGAATTGAGCAAGGCGAATGATAGTTCGCTTCATTACCCTAAATTCCAGAGTCATATTTATTACAGGCCTGCCCAGGGTGTGTTCACAGGCCTGGAGAGATTAGCCCAGGCCTAGGAAGCCCAGGTTTTGTTTGTGGGTAAATATAAGGGCAACTGTAAGGGTCCAGCTAGCTGGGCTATTTCCAATGAGCAGATCTCTGAAAGAAGAGTAGCATCCTTTTATTTCCTTTGTAAAACAGAATAAAAAGACAACTGAAATCTTAGGCTTTTAATGTCTAAAAAAATAATTACCACATCACTTAAACTAATAAAATTCCCTGTAGAGTTTTGATGACAACAAATAATGTTTTTTAACATCGAATGTTTCACAAATTTGAGTGTCATCCTTGTGCAGGGGACATGCTAATCTCTGTGTCAGTTCAATTTTAGTACATATGCTGCAGAAGCGAGCACAGATAACTTTTTTTCACAATTCTCTCCTGTGTGACACGCTTGTGAGGCTGCTGGCAGAGCTTCGGGAGGTGGGAGCAGAGGATGAGGCACCTCTCCTCCTTCTGCCCCTCCATAGCTGCACATACCACCAGCCATCCTTCTGCCACCAGTGGTGCTGCCCTCGGCACATTCTGCTCAAGCCACGGCAATGGGAACCCAGAATAGGCTCTGACATTAAACTATATTTCCTGGCACTAGAGCACAAATGTCACAGAATGCCAGCTGATAAACAGTGAAGCGACAGTCATTTGAAAGTACCATCGCTACACCTTAAACTAATAAAAGATAATGCTGAATGTAAACTATAATTGAAAACTTTTAAAATTAAATAAAAGCACCATGATAATTTATTTAGCACATGAGATAGGGTCTTATGATAGTGGATGTGAGGTACTGCTGTATAAAGTATTTTGTTTCTTGCAGAGAGGCAATCTTGTGTTTGTAGCACCGTATCAGACTTTTTAACATGTGATAGTAAAACTAGTCTTTTTTTCTCTAGTTAAGAATAAATAACCCTTTCTTTCATGAATTAATCCATTCTTACGTGAAAAAGAATGCTCCTTCCTATCCAACAGTCTCCCACTAACTGGTATTCAGATTCGCATTGCTCACTTCTGCAACAGAAAACACGGCTGTCTTTACTCAGACACCTAAGCTCTATCTATGCAGCGTTTCCCAAACTTCAGTGTGCATCAGGATCACCTGGAGGACAAGCTGCTGGGCCCCACCCCCAGAGCTTCTGATTCCATAGGTCAGGGGTGAGGCCCACAAATTTGCATTTCCAACAAGTTACCAGCTGATGTTGATGCTACTGGCCACAGGGACATTTTGAGAAACACTCAAGCTAATACTTGTGAACTCTGTAATCTGGGCCTCAGTTTTAACATACTACAGAGAATGTCTTTATTTGTCCATTTTTGTGTGAGGTAGGCAGAGTGAGCAGAGCTAAAGGTCAGATTCCTAACCCCATTCCTCTGATCTGTCCTATCCCACTGCATTGGATTCTTGTCTTGTATGATCCATATCATGATTTGGTCTTCTGGACAGAGAGTGCAAAAGACAATGAAAGTAAGAATAACAGAGATGCCATTTGCTGCCACCCTTTTCTCCTTCCACAAATATAAATATTAAAGTAGTACTTTCATTGCAGGAGCAAGAGATTCATTCTTGTTGTAATTAGAAAGGGTAAAAGGGTCCTTTAAAAGTAAATACTATATATTTTTGTAAAAATTAGTTTTCAAATAAATGATGATAGGAACCCAGGATGTTTAGAAAGTTTCCTTAGTCTGGAGACCTGGATTCAAAATCAGACTGCTATCTGAGCATATCTTTTAACTGTTCTTACTAAGCCTCAGAGTATGAATCTTTAAAAAAAAAAAAAAAAAGGAAAACTTGTAAGTTTTGACAATGATTAAATAAGATAAGGTGTAGGAAAAACTTTTAAAACTATAAATACAGGTGTTATTAGTTAAGTGTTTATTAAATATCAGTTAAAAAATTCTATCTTCAGGGGAAGGAGCTGATAAAAGTTGTGGGTTTGGGCACAGTAAAGGACAGGATTCTCTACGCCAAGATGCCAGGCAGCCGGTGAGGAAGACGTAATCAGCGGTCTGGACAGGGGAAAGTGGCAAATCCACAGAGGATAGGGGCCTCTTAGTGCGTATAAGTTATGTTCCAAATCACAGTGTTAGGAAAGAATATATCAGGACTAGACTTGAAGTAATATTATTGAAAAAGAAAAAAAAATTCAGGACTGCTTGGAGAGACCTAGGAAATCTCAAATATACATAAAGGCTTTAAAATGATAAGAGTTTCCTTATACTATTTTGTGGCTTTTCTAACTTTTATCTTTGTTTGGTTTTAACCATAAACTTTACTATAATTTTTACAGACTACACTTTACTTAGCAGAAAATAGTAAAAAATTTACAGAAGCAGAAAATATCTGAGAAAAATAAATTTAAGACTAAAAAATTAATCAATAACTTAGAAAACTTTTGAAGCTGGGGGTGTTTTGAGAGCTGACAGCCTGATAGCTCAGGTGTTGCAGGGATCAAAACGTTCTGATTCTGGAAACCAGAGGAAGGAGCGAGCCGGGGGTGGGGGCGGGAGTGGGAATGGGGCTG